TGAATTTTTTGTTTTGTTTATTATTATTATTATTATTATTATTATTATTATTATTATTATTTTTATTATTATTATTATTATTATACTGTATATATAAAACCATCATCCCTAATTAAATGTATACTTTAGATCTTGGTCTTTTTAAATACAGCATATGCTAGACTAGTGCTTGGCACAATCAAACAAAAATTTAATAGTCAAATACTTGTTAATACTTGTAATTAAACCAGATATCAAATAATTGCAGATTAACTAATAGTATATATTTAGTTTTGATTAATCTGCATATTTGACTATCAAATTTTTGTTTGATTATACCAAGCACTATACTAGACTATACTAAAGAACTTTTAAATGATCAGTGTAAAAAATAAGTAATACAAATCTTTGAGTAGTGATTAACACAGATTTTTAGATATCAGGGCCTCAAAATTTTGAAAAATATATCTGAAATAAGTATATATTATTTTTATTATTCTTTATATATATATTATTAAAGTTTGGCCCAAGTATATATTTTTATAAAAATTTTATTATAGATTGGTATATTATATATAAAACCTAACCTGAATCTAAAAATCTAAATTCAAAAATTAAAACCTGGTTTTAAAAACCAGGCTCCAAAACAAGGTTTCAAGATTCCAAATCTAAAAACTTTACCAATTTTAATTTACAGTATATCTAAAAAAAATAGTTGTTTTATTTTAAAATTTTATTGCAAATAAACTCTACTATTACTATAGTTAAATTGTTTGAAAAGTTGTAACATAACTATCCAGGTGAGTTTTTTAAAAAAATCTATAAAAAATTTTATATGTTTTTTATACATAAAATTTTTTTAAAATAAAATTAAAAGCCGGGTTGCCAGATCATTTTTGAAAATTTTATATTATATTGCCCTTTTTTTTTTTTATTGTTTGAAGCATAACGGAAGACTCGATTCTCATGCAAAATTGTCGTTTTTATATTTAAAATAAAAAAACCTAAATTTTTTTCTGTCTATTCTATTGTATTATGCAATAGTGATCGACAAAAGATTCAAAGTTACATTTTGAATATTTATATTAAGCATCCCAAAACGATCATTTTGCATAGAAAATAGATTCTCTGCTATGCTTCAAACAATAAAATAAATTAAAAAAAAGGCATTGTTACTTCAAAAAGTACACAAAAATGAACTCGACAAATTTAATTTTATTTGAGTTTGCTTATTCAAGAGTTACTGCTACCACTACGTCACCGCTAATTATAAAAAAATTTGATTAATGATTCTCACTACATATACACCTGCACTATGTTTGTAAATAGATATCAGATATGCATTAGACACCTTCTATTCATTTCTCGGTCACTCAAAAACATCATTCTTGATTCAAATTATTATAATTATTTTAATATATCAAAAAGGATACTTGAGCTGTTTCTCAGACTAATAATATAAAAATAATTGACATCTGATATAAATATACTATTGTTAAACTGCAATCTTGTAACGTAAATCCAGTAATATAAAAATGCTGTGCTTAATGATCAGTAACCACAGTTTTTGAGACCTAAATCTCTAAATGTGATTCTTTGTTTATTCATGTTTCAATTACAACAAATTTTTAAACAAATTCCAATAAATATTAAAAATGTTCGCGGAATTTAGATTTTTTCTGTAAGTGTAATTTTAAAAATAATCCTAATTTAAGTTGGAGAAGTTGATGCTATAAGGTTCGGAGTGGAAATATTATTATTATTATTATTATTATTATGATTATTATTATCCACATCGATCACATTGTTAGGCCTTATGAAAGCAATTGGAATCTCTCCCATTATTACCCGCGAACTATCGTGGCCATTTTCAACAACTTGCAACTCATTATTCATTTCTGTTGAATTTGATATGTCACTTGTATTTAAAGGAGTCGTCTCAATAGACCCTTGTGACTTTGGCCTGACGACCTCTAACTGATTACTTTCCTCATTAATGTGCAACATACCATTTTCAACACTTTCGGCCATCGCTTGTATGGTAGATGATATAAATTTCGATCTTTCTTCGGGCGATAAAAGTGGGAACACAAAACTACGCACATCGACATCCGAATCTTCGGCAAGTTTATTTATTAAGTAAATTATTTGAGAAGGGCGAGTTGTCGGATCTTGATAATATTGCTCTGATGTTTAAAGAGATATATATAGATTCAATGAAATTATAGGATTTAATAATCAACAAGACATTAAATATTTACCTAGTTGACAAAGTTCCCCAACAAGTCTCCCTAGTGCAATTCTGACATTCACCACATTATCTGACGAAAGTTTTTCCAAACCATGTAAAAAATACTTCTCAAAGTCAGTTTTTGAATATTCAGTAGAAATAAGTGCGCTACATATTTGTACATAACTGTATAAAACAAGAAAAGCTGAAGATTAACCATATGCATAGAATATCCATAATAATGTAAAAAAAAAAAAAAAAATCTTACACTACTCTGCCTCGAAATCCAGAGTCAGAAACAAAACTACACACACGATTTATCATATCGTGAAAACATGATTCATCATTACGTATAACTTCAAAAAGAGCCGGAAACTAAATAAAAAATAAATTAGAGTAATGATAACAATTATTTAAAGATATTTATGTATTTCTCGATTGCTTACACTAGCAACTGCAGTTTCTCTAACACTAGCTACTTCATCTTTAACTGCACGTATTGTCAGCGGTAATATATGATTTAATACGCATTGTTCATCAAATAATCGACATAATGCAGGTATTTGCCTGAACAGATTGTAAATATGAGATTTATATAGAAATAATTATCAGAGAATCAATAATGTATTGGTGTTAGCAATACTTTGTGATCTCATCTCTTAATCGCCAATGATTTTTAACTCCATCCCAAACATCATTCAACGATGGCAAATAATTGTTGCGAGTAGACTGTGGTAAGCATTCGATAAACGCTGCAAGGTGCACTATAAGCCCAGATTTAACTTCATCAATGTCATCCAAGTAATACGTAAAAACATTAAGTAAATCATTTTCTGTCTTCGTTGGACCAATGACTTTTGCTATCTCGTGAAGCGAACAAGCCAAAGTTCTCCGTACTTTAATCTTGGAAACATATCACGTTTATGTTCAGTGTTATAAATAATAAAATTTATAAATAAGCAAAAAAAGAAAAAAAGATTTTCAACCTGCATATCTCGAGTCAAAGGAATATATGTATCTTTCAAATCATCCCAACTGCTTTCTCCCAAAGTCAAAACGACAGCTAATATTTTAAAGGATCAATAAATGCAAATCATCAGGTGGCTCATAACAAATAAATCTACGTGATTTTGATCATCTTACCGGGAAAATTAAATGCACATATAACTGGACGTTCCGGATCTCTCTGTCCAAGATTACTGTTATATGTACTACTAGTAACGGAGTTACTAGGATTGCTTTCCCTGACTGGCCCAAGGCTTAAAAAATGTTGTACTAAACTTTCAGGAACTTTGCCATCAGGCTGAAAAGTAGCAATCAATTCACCGATAATTTCACCG